ACTGTGAGATCGTGACCTGAGCCGAAATCAAGAGTCAGACACTTGACTAATTCGCCCAGGGAGCCCTTAATTTTATTTAAATTAATGAACAATAGAGCTCATTTTGATACCACTAAGGATAAAATGTGAGTTGACTCACCCCTTACCATAAAAGATTGTTCTACAACATATGGTATACCAGAAAGAACACAGGAGTGGGAGGCAGAAAAGCCATGTGCTGCCTGTGCGTAATGGGGGCAGGGGGCTGTGTGACCTTAGGTAAGTTAGTGGGGCTTGACGATCTCATCGACTAAGGGATGGGACTGGACCACTTTATCCCTGAGGTCCAGTTCCAGCTAGCAGTCTCGAATGTGGGTTCTATTCCTGGTTCCTGCCATGACGGTCTAGTTAAAAATTTCTCTTTATTTGCCTTCCCATTCTGAGGAGTGCTAAGCCCTCAGAAGCCCTTTGAAAAATATCTGTTCAGAAGCGAATGAGGAAGTATATTGAAGAGAACATCGTGCCCCTCAAATGTAGGGACATTCGGCAGGCTTATGGTCTTGATACTCGTCAGGAAACCCGTGAACTAGACCCGTGAACTAACAATAACGTTGAAGAACCTAACCAGCTACAGTAATGAAAACCCACAATTCATCCCGCAGATTTGTCCATAAATGTGGGGGCATCAATATGCCTGTCCTCTTGTCTATGTGTGCTATTGGCTTTTCAGGTGTAGGTTTAATGACAGAATGTCATTAACCTTCATGGAAAAAAGCAACTTTGCTGTATCTGACTACGTGCCATATTTCATGGAGAACTTTTGGCATATTGTCCTGAAATTCCCCAAAGTCAAGAAATAACGGTCTTACCAGATGGTGATAACAAACTGGAATTATCGGCATTCTCTGTTGAGGAAAAAGGTGATTTAAAGTTAGTCTAGTGTGTGCAAGAATTTGTAGATGAACATCTTTAATGGAAGTGAATGTAAACCGACTTGCAAATAGCTACCAAAAGAGGGCAGTATATTAATTTACTATTATTTTCAACAGCCTCATCAGTCCTTCTCTTCAAGTCTCTACAGACACATCTCTGGCGAAGCAATTCTCTAATATAACTGTTGACGGTGCTCTCTATATTCTGTTATATAATGATTTAGCGCATCATAAACTGACAATGATGACTAAGAACTTCAACTGTTGGCTAATATTCATTCGAATTTGTAAAAGGAAAGGTATCTATGTGCATAAACTAAACTTCCATTAACTGTTTCTTTCTTATGTTTTAATTTAATTTAATTTAATTTCAGTATTTTAGAGAGGGAGCACAAGTGGGGGAGAGGGGCATAGGGAGGGAGGGAAAGAGGGAGGGGGGAGAGAGGGAGGGGGGAGAGAGAGAAAGAGGAAGAGAAAAAGAGAAAGAGAGAGAGAGAGAGAGAGAGAGAGAGAGAGAGAGAGAGAGAGAGTATCTTAGGCAGGTTCTACGCTCAGCGCAGAGCCCAATGAGGGGCTCAATCCCACGACCCTGGGATCATGACCTGAGCCGAAATCAAGAGTTGGAAGCTCAACCAACTGAGACACGCAGGTGCCCCCAACTGTGCTTCTTTTTGTACCTATTAGCACAGCCTTTATACCTTTTAAGTACTACTTATGAGTTAAACTAGATCAGATGCCTCTGAGTTTATAAGCTAAGAGACTGTGTTACTTATTTTGAGAAGATGCTCAGATTCCTTAAAAGAAAAGTAATTCTATTTTTCTCTCTGTGAAAAATATTACACACTTATTGGAGCAACTTCAGATAAATTACAGATAAAAAAGAAAATTAAAGCCACCTATCATTTCACCACCCAAACGTAATTGACATTAACATTTTGGCATATAGTCTTTGCTCTCTCTTTCTATATTCATATGTATATCTACATATGTATACAGATATATGAATATAAACATATATACAAGAAAGATCATATCACATAAACTATTTGTAACCTGATTTTTCTCATGACATTGTATCCTGAACATTGTTCTTTTTTTTTTTTTTTTAATTTTTTTTTTCAACGTTTATTTATTTTTGGGACAGAGAGAGACAGAGCGTGAACGGGGGAGGGGCAGAGAGAGAGGGAGACACAGAATCGGAAGCAGGCTCCAGGCTCTGAGCCATCAGCCCAGAGCCCGACGCGGGGCTCGAACTCACGGACCGCGAGATCGTGACCTGGCTGAAGTCGGACGCTTAACCGACTGCGCCACCCAGGCGCCCCTCCTGAACATTGTTCTATATCATTAAACAATTCTCCACAATACCATACTGTATGGCATTTCACTGACTGGATATACCATTAATTTCTACATTTTGATGTGTATAATTTTTCATGATTACAAACAATGTCTCAATAAATACTTCTGGCTAAATTTTGGCATCCGAGGGGCACCTGGGTGGCTCAGATGGTTAGGTTAAGTCCAACTTCAGCTCAGGTCATGATCTCACAGTCCATGAGTTAGTTAAGGCCCCAAGGCCGGCTCTGTGCTGACAGCTTCGAGCCTGGAGCCTGCCTTGATTCGTGTCTCCCTCTCTGCCCCTCCCCTGCTCACGTTCTGTCTCTGTCTCAAAAATAAATAAAAACATTTATATATACACAAAATACATTTTGGCATACAAACTTACATCCTTCAGAATTTCCATGATTTTGACTGCCAAAATGCCTTTAAGAAACAAACCAATTTATACAACCCTCTCTCTGCAGGACATGAGTATCATCGACTCTTCCCCAGACTCCATGTGGGTGTTATTTTTTAAATTTGTAATTTTTTTTTAATTACAAAGGAATGATTCTTTCCATAGTGGTATCCTGAAATACAATTAAAAAAAAAAAGAATATGTATGTTTGGAAACTAAACTTGCACAGTGAAACTTACGACTACCTGGTAGGAGCCTATTTTCCTGAAGTGGTGGTAGGAGTATTTTCTGCACAGGATCGGTAAAGCACAATTCTGCTTGCAAGCAAGACGGATGAGTGCTCAAGTTCCCAATTACCCTGCAGCCACCAAGGCAAATGTACACAAGTGGTTCGTGCCTTGATGCCCCAATTTAATTGGAATTGCTCCTCTTAAGTTAGTCTCTGTCCTTCAGGGTAACCCTCAGGCTACGTTAATATTCCACCAGTGAGAGAGTCTGTTGAGTTAACAGGAGCTTAATTTTTTAAAATACCTGGGAGCACTAAGGGCAAATCAGTCACTCACACCTTAGTATGGATTACTTCCAACTGGCTGAAATCTCTTCTGATCCTGTAGTAAAGACCTACCATAATGGGCCATGTTGACAAGAACTGGGAAGAATCAACATTCACGGGCTAACAGAAGGACATTTATCAGTGTGGGCAGGTGAGGTGGAGTGGGCAGAGGCTGGCACAGGGAGGAAAAAGCAGGAAGGTGCTGAGGAAGAGTTGGATGGCATGGAAACAGGATGGAAAGTGATGTTTCAGGGCAACAGAGACTTAACTGCCTTCCACTCCTCTCAATTCCAGGGGTTGACCATAGCCACCAATGATTCCAACCTTGTCCACTGCTAAATCCTCTGGCCTTAACAGCTAGGGCTGGCCTCTTCCATCTTGGAACCTAAGAGGCTCCAGCAACGATCTACACTGATGAAGGGAGGGAAATCTCGTTCACAAACCAGAGATTTTGAAATTGTTATTGTCTGCTTTTTTTTCTCTTGGCATTTTCTTTCTTCTAGGGGCCCCCAAAACGCTTAGTGACTAACATCGATTTCATTTTTTTCTCCCATTATGAGCTTCCACGTCACTCTCCTGGTCCAAAATAGGGACGTCCCCCGTAGGCCTTACATTTTCCTGACTATCAGCCCATTTCTCTCAGGCTCTCTCCTCACTCACTTCCATCTGTTACATCAAAGAGGTGGTCGCTTTCCAATGAGTCAAATATTTGAGCCCCGTGCCATTCTTAGGAGACAAAACATTTCCATTGTTACAAGGATTCATAAACAAAAGAAAGAGAAACATTTAAATTTTTTTCAGATTTTCCTTCCCAAAACATCCAAAACAAATTTTAAAGCATTATTCATTTATTGAAGCTTCAGTTTCAGTCAATAAATAAAATTAAGTGATATGCCTATAATTTTAC